TTTGGAGTGAAAGCCGAGCAGGGGACAGCTAAGAAGGCTTCCCCCTTCTGGTTCTGAGCGGCCATGGCGCCCATGAGATGGTCTCTGGCTTTAGCACAAACACGGAGGCNCAGCTCTGACCAGTTTCTGGGCCCCAGTGGGCATAGGGAAGGAGGGCGATTCTCAGGAGGGAAACCCAGTGTCCTCGGCCTGGACAGGCAGCCAAGGCTCCGGGTCAGCAGGGACAGGGCTGGGAAAGCCAGGGGCCGCCCTCACTCCCCGCCGCCGCTCAGCACCCTGCTTGCACAGAACGCAGCCTCTGCGCCTGATTTTGCAACATCCTGCCCCAATCTAAACAGGTGTGCCTGCAGGAACCCACCCATCCTTGCATGTAGAGATGCACCTACCCAGGGCAGCTGCTCCTGCCCAGAGGGCACACAACACCTGGCCACAGGCCCGTGCCAGCCCCCTGCAAGCCACCCACCATCAAGACTGAGCAGTGAGGGCCCCTTGCAGTGTGGGGCATGGGGAAGGCAGGGGCACCAGGCATGGCGCAGGACCCCCTCCCCTGGAAGTGCTGGGGGACTAGCAGGCTGATGCCATTCTCCAGGTCCCTTCACCTCGGAGTCCCACAGTAATGCCCCGTCTCCCCCAGCCTCCTCCTGGCCGGCCACCAGTCACCTGGGCTGTGCGAGTCTCCGTGTTGAGCAAGGCCCATGCGGCCGGCACTGCGGCCCTTCACTGTGCATTACATTCGTTACCCAGAAGGACAGGGCCTGGTCCACAAGTCTGGGACCGAGTGGGTGCTGCGTTGAGTGTCAGCTGCCGCAGAGGCCTGCCTGAGAGGCGCCTGTGTGGTTTGACTGGGGAAGGAGAGGCCGGGCAGCGGGTGGAGGCGGCAGCCCCAGCACCGGCATCTGGCCAGGCCACCAACAAGGCCTCCACTATTGCCTAAAGTCTGTGGCACTCGGAAGGCCCTTGGGGAGGGCAGTTCAGGCCGGAGACCCAGCCCCGGGGTCCAGGTGCTGCACTGTTGGGCCAGTTGGAGGGTCTGGGCTAGGCTGTGTGGGGGAACTGAGGGGCTGGGGTCTCTGGAGGAACTTGGCACCCTTGCTCTGCTCCATCCTTTGGCTCCCGTACCGGTGAGGCCCCTCCTGTTCTAGGGCACTCTGCAACAAACCACGGCCCCACACTCGGGTCCAGGCCCAGAACCACCCATCAAACACAACAGGGCGCTCCAGGCCCTCCGTCCCTGGCCCCCCTTTGTCCCTGTCCCCGTCTCTCCTGTCATGCCTGAGGTCCCTCAGACTTCCTTTCCCTTTGCACTGCATGTGCTGTGCCCCTTCCTCCCAGGTGTCCCTCTGCTGCCCCTGCTGCCCTTGCCGTCTGTCCCCGCAGGGCCCTCTTTCACAGGGCTCTTACCCCGAGTCCCGCCCAAGGTGCAGACGGCAGCGGCCGCTGAGGCCCCGGGCCTGTCTCGGTGGTGCTCCAGCTCCGTTTCCAGCAGCATCGCTGCCGCTGGGCCAGGGTGGGCCCTGGCAGCTCGAGTCGCGCGGGTCAAGCCCCTCCTTCTTCCTCGGAGACCCCCGGGTAGGTCCGCAGCACCCCAAAGTCTGCGTCCACGTCGGAGCCGACCC